CTATCCATATTTTAGTAATAACATCATATACCATACAATTTAAATTATACATATTATATTAAGCAGTTGACATAGATAAATAATGAATATTTCAAGCCGGCCCACCGAGTTCAACTCGATAACTCGCCGGCTCTATCCGGGCCTGAATGCATGTTATAACACTTCTTTATTAAATAGCCACATATATATGTAAAAGCATTTATTTTTGGCAATTTTAATGATCTGAAATTGGTAGCATCAATGGGTAACGGATTAATTTGAATTAATTTGGGTTAATCTTGGTAAGTGGTAATGTGCAGGGACCTTTTTTTTAAAAAAAAATTGGCGGGCTGATCTCGAGCAATGCATTTCGATGATAAAAGTGTTCGTTACATCATGCCTTACCGCCAAGCTTACAACATCATTCTTGGCTCTCCGAAATGAAGAAAATAAAAGTGGAGGGGTGAGTGTCGCTTCTATAGTGTTCTATGGTATGGGATCGACTTGTTTGTCATTCCCTATTTCACTTATGCCACAAAATTTCATGGAGGAAAAAAACACCGCCGATCGAAATCATTGTACCAACACAGAATCGAAAATTCTTTACAAATAATAAGAATAGTAGTACCAACATAAATAATTAATTTATACATTTTATGAAATACCTATATTTATTTTCATATTCAAAAATTATTGTATTTTAAATATAATTGCATTAAAAATATTATTTTCAAGTTATGCCTAAATTGACAGTATTTAAAGTGTTTATCTAAAATAGAAACTTACACTAAATATTGTTGTCAAAATTACTTATATTAACCATCCAATATTACCTAAGATAAACATTTATGGTAAATTGGAGCAGCTCCGCATTTTTCCAAATAGATAGATGAATTATCTCATTGAGGCTCTGACACATTCCTACATCACTCACTAATGTTTCGTGTTGACTATAGCAAAAAACACTAAATTAATTAATACTACAGGTACAGGCAGAGAGTTAGTTATTGTTATTTCATTCAGAATTAGAAAAGTAACTTTGAATATTTTGAAATTAAATTGTATAATATAATTATAACTGTAATCCCAAATTAATATCTGAAATTAAATGTTCACCTTCTTAAACTTGAACCACAGAATAATCGAAAGCACGAGCTGAGTCAGCGGTTTGACCTATGGTCAAAATTTAAAACAACGACAGTAAAAGGCGTAGGTAAGGTAAAGGTTTGAGTAAAAGCTAATAATGGTACTAAAAAGTGATCCTAAAAATTCGAAAATTAACGAAAGTCGAGAGTAGCGTCAAGTTCGAGAGTCGTTAAGCGACTAAGCGAGTCGTCGTTTGTCGTTGGTCGTTCGTACTTCATAGCTCGTACTTGTGAATCGTGATGGTGGGAGTTGGCTGGGTGGTGGGAAACTGGGAAAAACGTCTCACAAAAACTGTTACAAAACACAACAAAATCCAAATAATAATTATAAACATAATTATTAAATACATACATTATTGATTTTGTATTTCAAGGTGGTTTATTTAGGAATACTAAATTTTAATTAATTTGAGGTTGGTTAAGTTGATTTTTTTTCTTTTTTTTATTCCTCCATGAAATTTCAGAATAAAACCAATAATTCATTTGTGAGGTTATGTCATGCACGCTTTGGCTAAGTGAAACCCGTCTGACCTCTCGGCATTATAGTAACGTGGTCTGAGAATTTCATGACTTCTCTATAGTCCATTATTCTGTGCATTCCTCATCAGTCGTCTCGTCGGAAGTGCAATATTTTCAAAAGGGAGTTGGCAGTAGCAACTTCAGCAGCTGCTCCAAGAACATAAGCAGTCCTTGCAAATGAGTTTTTAGGTTTGAGCAGCATTATAATATTAGTGTTGGTAAGTCTTAAATAATATTATTACTTTTATCGTAGAACGCTATTGTCCCTGTATACCTACATCCATAGTAAATTATCTAATATTGGCTAACACAACGTCTTAATGATAATTCGTTGTTGAGTATAATTTCAAAGGAAGTAATATTTAAATACATTTTGATAATGTATTCTTTGCTTTTATTGTACTACACAAAATAAGAAAATATTGTGTTTTAGAATAAGTTTATTTATTAATATATTAATAAATAAATTGGTTTTTGTCTTTGATTTATTAATATTTTATTTTTTAGATTTGTTAAGAGAAAAAATTTTTTTTAAAAAAGGTCAAATTATAAATAATTGTTGAGTTATTATTGATGAACAAATATAATTAAAAAATATTTAAAAAAATTCATTTGACAGGTTGACATTTTTATTTATTGTTTTATTTTTATTATTTTTATTATTTTATTAATTGTGTTTATTATTCATGAATAAATCAAACAATTTTATAATATATCTATATAAATATAAATAAATGTCGGTTTTTTTCACACTCTTAATCTTTAAAACTACTAGTCCACTACTTAATAGACTGTCACTATTAGTTTATTCTTTTTTTTATAAAACAATGAGTCATTTTTATTTATATACATAATAATGATTATTATGTATATTGAATATTAATCCGTTAGAGAGCGCCACTAGTAAAAACCTTTTAAGTTTACTTTCTGTGGCCGGGAGGTAAATTTTGTGATATTTATATGGATACTGACCTTCCCCTGATCCGGCTGAATATCCGTGTTGTATTTCAAGTGGATCGGACAAGTAGTTTTAAAGATTACATGTGCGAAAAAAAGAGACATTCATTTCTATTTATATAGATATATAGATAATGATTATAATGTATATAAATAAAAATGACTCATTGTTTAAAAAAAAAAAGAAAACACTAATAGTGGCGTGCTTTAACAGATTTATAGTAATGAACTTCATAAATCTACAAAAATAAATATGAATGTTAATAATAGGTTAGGTTACGGACAAGTATATATTTTGAAAAGTAAATATTTACTACTTTGCTATACTTTCAGGTACTAATATTGTTTGAATGTATTACTGACTACAGTATTAGTATTATGGTATTTCATTATATTGTAAAGCATTCTTATTTATGCACTCTTAACAATATAATTAACACAATATTATGCATAATTATATCATGAAGTCTTATACTCAATTTTTACATTTTTAAATTATTTTATTGATAATAAATTTCAATAAAATATGTATATTTGTTATTTGTATGAATTATATAATACTTTATAGTTAATTGTGGTAAAAGTATTTAATGGAAAGTATTCAATAAAATAGAATAGTTTTTAAAATGCACTTGAATACTTTTTGACAAACAGTATTTAAAATGTGTATTTAATCAATACTTGAAAAAGTATTTGAATACCAATACTCAAATTCTTCACAACGCTGGCTATACGGTTATGAGCTAAAAAATGAGTGTAAAACCCTTTGTTGAAGTGTTTAAATTTAAAAAAGGCGGGAAATGTTTGGACGATTAATGGCTGCTATGACACCAGTTATCCACTCTTTTTATTATCTAGACTCTCTAAGCCGTACCATAGTAAAATAAATAAATAATAATAATAATGATATCAAACAAAATGTCAGTCAAAAATTAGGTTTATACTTATAAGATAAGCTTTTTATAAAATCTAACCTTGTTGCTTTATTTTCATTTACAGATATAGTATAGGTAAATAGAGATCGTGTGTTTATTGTTCATGATGACGACAAACGAACTTTCTTATTATTGCTTATGGAATCTGCAGCAAAATTCATCCATTATCGTAATTTATAATAGAAGGCACTTAATATAATACATAGGAACTATACTCTGTTAGTCGAGAGACCAGGACTGCGCGGAGGACGAAAACTCGTCGATCCCCACCACTTTTACTTGTAACGGCTACGCACCACCTGGCGACCGCCAGCTGCTCAGAATTCGGGCCATGCATACAGTGTCATGTTTTTTTGCAGTGATTTCAATTCATATGTTCGAGCGCGTTTCGTGTAATTTTTAAATAATTAATATAAAAAATGTTTTGTATGTACTTTATAATAGAATATTATTATATTATTATCATTTATATATTAGTAGCATTTTATTATAACGGCCGACATGAAAGTTTATTTGAACTCGCTACGTATGCAAAATAGTTTTAGTCATAGAGAGGGGATATTTGACGGAGCGCTCGTATTTCCATCAGTCGTATGCGCGAAATGGTTCTGGTTTCTCGGTGAACAGAGTATAGAGTCCAAGCTTCCTTATAATTAATACACCACGGAGAACCCCTGAAAACGAAATAATAATTCGGTTACCTAACCATTCTAATGTGACCCAATTCGTGTATACAATTTTTAAGGGACGCAACTAAGGTGCCCCGTGCCGTATAACATCTATAGAAATCATCGTCTCATATTTTTTTGTTTCTGCTAGCAATTGGTTTCCCACAAGTAAAGGAATTATACTTATTACTATCAGCTGACTTCAGTTTCAATGCAGAACACCATTACACCTAATAGTAACGAATTGAACACATTTTATACGATTTGGCATTTTTTACGGAAACAAAATAATATAATAATTTATACGTTATACTGGATAGATAACTGTATACAATATTATACATAATAATTTATAATAATATAATAATATTACATATTCACAGTCTACAGAATAGTATATAATATGGATGATGGATATTAAACAAATCAGTTATAGGGGTAATCTGCAAATCCTGCCTTTGTTTAAAAATTACAGTTTTACATTTTTGTCCTGGATATTTTTAAAAGTATTGGGAAGTTTTTGCATTTGAGTCATACCACAGTTTATACTCTATATATTTATTTACTTTTTGTTTTTTTTAGGTTCCAACGCTACTAAAGACTGTTGCCATCACTTATCCCGTCAACTAATTCACTCGTTGTCTCATGGTACTGTAGTACTGAGTATTGAAAAGGTGTGTGTCGTCAATATGGATGTGTTATCATTTATCACTTTTACTTTGATTATTGTTTAATGTTTTTATTTTTAATTTGCAGTACGCTCAAGCCACTTTCTCTTGGTCGTAAATTATTAGGAAAAAACAGCCGCGATGTCGGCTAACGACGAAAGAATGTACGTCGTACCCAGTCTGTTGAAGTCGGCTTACAACGCGTGTATCAAGATCCATCGGGAAATGTACGACGAGCTGCCACTTCCGGACGTCGACCTTCAGATTTGTTGTGAGTCGGTTTTTACAATCGTGAGACTCAACACGCAGATTTGTGGTTTCGACTCATCGGGTGATAGAAGGTCCATGTTCAGCAAGTTGCAGCGATTTCACTTATTCCAGGACATAATATGCGAGAAAGCCGCGTATTATGGACACATTGATTGTCTGAAGTTCGCTCACGAGATGGGCGTCCCTTGGAACAATTCGAGCCCACTTGTTAAATCGGCTTGCGAAGAGGCCGCAGGAAGGGGTAACCTAGAATGTTTGATTTATGCTCATGAGAATGGTAGTCGGTGGGGAGTGGCGTGTGGAACAGCCGCATCTGGAGGACATCTAGATTGTCTTAAGTATGCCCATGAAAATGGATGCCCATGGAACCAAAATGCGTGTACTTTGGCTGCGAGAAATGGACATTTGGACTGTTTGATCTATGCGCATGAGAATGGTTGTCCATGGGACGAATACACGTGTATGATGGCTGCTCAATATGGACACCTGGACTGTCTGAAGTATTTGCATGAGAATGGATGCCCGTGGAACCGATTCACATGTAATATGGCTGCATTTAATGGACACCTGGACTGCCTGAAGTATATGCACGAGAATGGATGTCCATGGCACGAAGAAACGTGTATGATGGCTGCGGAAAATGGACACATGAACTGCTTGATATATGCGCATGAGAATGGATGCCCATGGAACGAATGGACCTGTACTTATGCTGCAGACAATGGACACCTGAGCTGCCTGACTTATGCTCATGAAAATGGATGCCCATGGGACGAATACACTTGTACTCAGGCTGCGGAAAGTGGACACTTGCACTGTCTCTCTTATGCGCGTAGAAATGGATGCCCGTGGGACGAAGACACGTGTACTCGAGCCGCGGAAAATGGACACCTAGATTGTCTCTCTTATGCTCATGAAAATGGATGCCCATGGGACGAATACACTTGTACTCGAGCTGCTGAAAATGGACACTTAGACTGTCTCTCTTATGCGCATACAAATGGATGCCCGTGGGAGTGGAGAACGTTTTATGGGGCTGTCTTTTCTGGAGACCCACGCTGTTTTCAATATGTATATGAACATGAATGCCCTATGATACCTATATGTAGACGTCAAATATAATATGCTGTATTAATAACTGTACATTGAGTAGTATATACCTAGCATAGGTTTTAAAACGATAATCGATTGAATTCTTATACAATAAACTGTATTATAGGGCGAATGTCGAAGTATCAAGCATGCGTTATTTGTGTTGAGTTTATTATTTCATACATGTATAAATTAAATTAAATAGCAACTCGTAGTGTTATTAAAATTCAAAACTGGGCTAAGAAAAAATATATTTTATAAGTAACATATTTTAAATTTTAAGTAAGTTCCTTTATACATTTTTTTAGATTTTCAAATCACTCAAATATATCTTAAATTCTAAACATAAAAGACTAACACTTGTTTAATCAATGATTTCTTATGGAATTTGAATTTGGGGTGTTTATACCAAAACCATTACAGCAATCTTGAAGTAACACTAGGCTCACTACTCAGATTCATTTTTATTAGGCCTTATATATGTATATCAAACTTCTAAATCATATAAATAGTTGAATATTTTAAATTTAAAATCCTTGTATTTTAAATATGTTTGTTTAATCATGTAACTATAATCTTAAGGATGATATTGCAGTTGTAACTCATAATTATTCTACCCAACCTAAGTCCAATGTTATTGTTAGACAAATTAGAACAGTTTTTGAGTAACAATTTCCTAAAAACAAGTTTATTAAATTTTGTTATAAAACAGCTTTTATTTAAATTAATCTTCATATAAAACCCAAAATAAATGAAGACAACATTTATTTCTTTTATTGATTATAACTATTATGATGTAGATTATTGTATTCAATACTAGGTATTACTTCAAAGATGTAGGGAAATATTGATTTTTTGTCTAGTAATTTTTTTTTCATTTTTTAAATTTTTGGAGAAATAAATGTTTTTTGCTGGCTACTTACACGAAATGGTTCGTGGGACACTTTTTTGAGACCTCTGGCTTATAGGAAAATACACAGGTAACTTATTCGTGTCAGTGCTTGAGGACAGATCTATCCGTGTCATCTGCATGCGTAACTACGCCACTGCAAAGCTACAACGTAACGGAATAATGCATCGTTTGCACAATATACGTTGTAATAAATATTGTGACTGATTTGATAGATTTGAACAGGCAGCGTGTCTTGCAGATACATGTATTATATGAGAGCACTAAATCGGTATACCTACATACATACATGACGCGGACGACTAGAACTCTGTTACATTTTCGTATCATTTGTATATACTTGAATCAAAATATATACTGTTTGGTCCAAGTAAACCTACTGTTAATTCGACTCTCTGATCTCTAGTTTGGATCTTTATTTTTAATGGTTCAAACGGTCTCTATTTCCGGTAGTATGTTTCAAGGCCTCACGTTTTTAATTAATTATTCATTTTACGTTTGTTCTTCAACGAGACAATTTTCAAGCTTAAGAATCGTTTCACCGGTTCGTCATCTGTATATAGGCTCATGAGTCTCGTTCGCAAATCGCAAATGGGTTACGTTGGACACCAATACTTACTTTTTTTAACTTCATCGTTTTTACTGATCAGTGATAACTGATAACCTTATCTATAAAGTGCATAATTGCGTCAATATAGCATACCTAGTAGGAGACAGCACATTTTCGTCTATAACTTAAAAAAAAAATTAGCTGTTGATCTAAATTCATTACAATCAGATGTACCGATACTCAAATCAACTTATTAGTAATCTGCACTGCTGAATAACGCTTAGTGCATTTCCGCAATTTTTATATTTATTTGTTAGATAAGTAAGTAAAATATATATGATATACCCATATAATATGTACACACCATCTAACTATTTAAGAATGATAATCTAGAAAAAGCCATCATTGAAGACCACAACACAAATAAAGTCCGAGCATTTCTAACCATAGTTAATATTGTAAAATAATATTGACTAATGCCGATAACAGGGAAGTACCTATATAATATATAATATATATAGATGTAAGAACTTTTATATTTTATATATAATTATTGTATATATAATGTGAACAAAGCTAATCGCCTTATAGTTGCCGAAGCTTAATAATAATTTATTATATATTATGTTAAATAAACAGAAATATAATATCTGTACTTTTACAGAAAACTGTAGTTGTGTAATATTATGTCAATCGATAAGATTGGTTTAATTCACTTAGTTTAATTATATATAAAAATTATACTTTAAAATACATATAACAGAAAACTAGTATGCTACGACAAAACTAATTCGAGTTAGTTTGAATTGCATATATAGTTCGATTCCTGTACTTATGTAGTTATGCCAATCAAAATATTCTGCAATAATATAGTTTACAAATTTTGACATATGACTACGTCATGTTTACATAGTAGTGATGAGTATTGACGCAGTGTATTTCTTATAAGTTCCCCTACCATAGAAGATTTAATTTTTCAGGTTAACAGGTACCGTACAATTTTCAGAAACGACAGAAACTGTCACACAATTAATATCCATGCAAATTTGTGTTAAATATTTGCATTAAAAATATACAATATTTGGAATGGATGAGGTTGGAGATAAGCCATATACTCATATGTATGTGTTTTTTGTGTCAAAAACCGGTTTTTTAGCAGAAAAAATGCTTAGAACTTCAACTTAAAATTTGAAATTTCAGATTTACAATATTTTTCAAAATAATCGAAAAACATAAAGGAATTTCTTCAAGTAAAACCTTTTGCAAAATCTATTATTTTTTTTTTTTGCTGCTCAGTTTAAAAATTAAAAACGCATAACCGCTGGTACTTGAAGTGTTCACTAAGTATTTATTAATATTATTATAGCATTTCCATCAAAATAATTTGACTCTTGTTAAGCTATGTGTTAATTTTCCTATTTTTTTTCCTTAAAACTTTCGATAAAAAGTATTTGTCAAATAGCTAGTAAGTTTAATAAAAGATTTTTCATGAATAGTTCATACTGAAATCAAAACATCTAAAAATTATATAAGCACTTTTATAATAGACAATTGAAGGTCAAGTTCTGTTGAAATTGGCTACTTAAACTAAGAATAACTTAATTACAACTTGTGAAAACGTGAACTAAAGAATTATTTCAGGTAATATATTAAATGTTTATCTGTGGATATACCTTATGTCTAATATATTATTGTATTAAATATAAACAAAGTGTACTTATAAGTACACCTTGCCTACATAGTATTATGAAACCAGTGATAATAATATAGATTACAGTTAATATATTGTTTAAAAAAAAAATCATGTTTGTTATTCATTCAAAAAGCGTGTAAGGAGATGTCGCTCTGTTGTACAGTAGGTCACAAGTGCCAAGTGGGTCACTGTAATGAATGATGTTGAATTTGAATTCAAATAATTCAATGATATAAAATCATTGTGTATGAAAAACTATTCTGAGCGTAGACGGTCTGTCAGCCTATGATATTACTTAATATATTTGATGATGTTACTATGATTGAAGTAATTCATTTCACTTTTAGGAAATAGTACTACAGTAGGTTAACTTCATTTTCGCTAAAAAATTTTTTTTGGTCATTATTATTCGAAACCGTCGAGAGTGTATTTTTGATTTTGTAAATTTTTTGGATTGCAACATTTCACACACGCAATATTATTATTACTTTAAAATTTTTATTAAATATAGTCTTCTGTTTTGCGGCCTATTGGGAGATACCACTTATGAGAGGTACACTTATTTTTAAACTTATAATATTCCAATTGTAATATTAAGTAATAATAACATAACTATGTAACAATAAGAATAGAACTTATTATGTGCTTAAAATGTAAAATATCATGATGATTTTCATGTTGTAAATATTTTCGTTTTTAAAGGCTTAAAACACTGAGATTCAACACTACCTCTCCCAAACATTAGGTTTCTTAATCATTAAATACTGAACACTACAGGCCCTATTAGCACATGGGTCTAGGGCAGGGGTCGGGAACCTTTTCGTAGGAAAGAGCCATTCTTTTAAAAAAATACAAAACTATGATATCCAGGGAGCCGCACAGGTTTGAACAACTTTTTTTTAGTAGGCAATAAAATAAAAACATAATACATAATACGTCTTAAATTTAGAAAATACAGAAAAACTTTTTTTCATTAATTCATTATTATTATTATTATTATTATTGTTTATACAAATATAATATTATTTAATTAAACACAATAAAACACAAAACAACGTATCTATTTAATATTAGTGGGATTTTTGACACTGAATTTCTCCAGACAGCTTATTCAATTCTGGAAAGTAGTCTGTAGTTTTCAACTTCAAACAAGCATCAAGGCTGATATCATTCAGTTGATTTCTTAATTTATTCTTAATAAAGTTCATGTTTGAAAATGTTTGCTCACAAATGTAAGTAGATCCAAAAATGGTTAAAATTCCGAAAGCGACCATTTTTAATTGGCTGAAACTTTCGGGAAGACTATTCCATACGTCAAATATAACTTTCTCTTCTTTTTGACATTTAGCGAGTTCCGTCCATTTATGGTTCGCAGCTAAAAATCCTTTTTCCCTTTCCAGATTTTCAATATCCGTTTTCAAATTCTCAAATTTTGTAGACCAAAGATCTTTGGTTTTTAGTTCTATTAATTGCAATGAAAATAGTCTTTTGTCGACAGATGGAAACGATGGAAAATTAATTTGTCCAGTCTCCGCTATGAGTGTTCGGGACAAATGCATAAGTATCAGTCCACTCACTTCTAAATCCTCTATTTTCCTCTTCAATTTTACGTTTTTTGTTTGTAGACATCTCGGGACCCTAGACTCTAGGGCCTACGGTAGTGTTAATTCGGCCGTGGGTACGACCACGATGAAGTGATGTGAACGTTTTAAAATTGTTGTAAAAAATATAGGTATATAAATAAAGAAATATTAAGATATCATGGCGAGTACCACTACCTATACCTACATATTTGCGTTGAATATGAATGTCGTGCAGTTACAAAACTATACCGACAGCTGCAGTGTCGTCGAAAATGTTTTATTTTTATTATTCCACAATCATCATTACCCAGGCGGACGGTGCAGATGCGGGTACATGGCCGCGTGTGGGAAGAGGAGAAATCAATTTGAAAAAGTGCTTTGGATATAAATCATTCTGTGACGGTGTATATGTTATCCGTTTTTTTGTAGCGTCGTCGTCGTTGTCGTCCTATACCTAAAACCCTCAGTGGCTTTTCGCCCGATCTTCGTATTTTTTTTTTAATTGACATTTTTTTCTCTCCGCAGATCGATTGTCGCACACGAACACACACACGCGCGCTCCCTCAATGGGCGGAGCCTACGGTCGAGATAATAGCGATAATGATAATAGTACTAATAATAATAATAATAATAATAATAATAATAATAATAATAATAATAATGATAATAATAATATTGCGACAACAACAATATGTGCACAGCGCGATATATTTCACACGCGGCGACACGCGAGGTGAAAAATAATATTATATTATACTCGAACAGATATATACTGACGACGACGACGACGACGACGACGACGGATGATGGACCGGTGCCAAATATCGTGTGTGCATACCGAGAGACTTTGCGGCGCCGGTGACATGCAAAACAAGCTACACCGCAGGATACACGGCGTATATTATTATTATATACATTCGATTCCTTCCATCTGTAAGGCGCCGATAACGTCGTCGTCATCGTTGTCGTTGTCGTCGTCGTCGGCGCGCTGCAGATGAGCTTTCACCCGGCGGCCGCCGCCGTGAATAATGGTCGTTTCCGCGCTCGCGCGCGCGTGTGTGTGCGTATAATAATATATAATATCTTCACCCACACCTCGCCGCCACCCGTTCACCCACCGCCGTCAATTCGTCCACCCCGCACCCCCGCTGCACCCGCCGAACACCGTCCCGCGCGCGCGGTAATATCGTGTCACGCCCCAACGGGTAAATAATACGGTGGCGGCTGCGGCGGCGGCAGCTTTGAGAAAAGAAAAATTATGTCTGCGGTAAAAAATGAAAGAAAAAAAGAAAACCGCGTGTGTGTTATTATAGATGTATGAGGATACGCGTATGACGTGCCCCGCTCGCAACCCTTTTTCTCTCTCTCGATATATTTTTTGGCATGCTCGCACTTATTTTCGTATATATTATTATCACATATACAGTGGAAATCACTTTACCGTCTGGAAACGTTTGTACCTATATGCGCATTATGTATGTATACGTATTATAATGCATAAAATATTACGTATAAGGTATATAATGTATATAATGTATATAATATATGTATATATATATATATATAGGCATAGATCAGGTGTAATGTATATATATTATGTATATAATAGTCAGTAGATTTATTGTGTGCCCGTTAGCGGCGTGTATGTTCTTATTATATTATTATAGGAGTTATTGGCCGTTACACTATTATATTATACACAGTAGTTATTGATATCATTATACACTGGATGTAGGCCCGTGGTACATGGGTTTCAGTCGTTCATTTTTTTGGTTTTTTTGTTTGAGGGGGGCCGTAACGCGATATCGTCAGAGAGATTTCATAGAAAATGATATTTATTATCAAAACGGTGTTTAGAAATTTCAGAAATCGTAGTAGCAGAAATATTGTCCAAAGAAATTTTGCCAATAAATTCAGTATTTGGCTTAGTGTGCTGCAGTCTGTGGTGAGGTGCCAACTTGTAACGCGAGGTAGTGAGCGAGATGTCAATAATTTAAGATAATTAATTAATAAGTAATAACTGTCTATAATTCCAGTATACATCTAAAAATGAGTGAATTTTAGTTAAATTAATTTTATTATCATTCGCAGTTTTCATCGTACCTACACGCCTTAGCAGTTAGTTACTGCAATGTATAATATGTCATCTATACAGTTAATAAAAGGCGATGGTTCTACAAAACCTAATAACTACCTATAATATATTGTATTTGTCATTGTAATATTGGAGTGTTCTTCAATTTTTATTCATTTTACCGACATAAGAGTAGATATGCAAACACGTTTGTATATAGTTCACATAAACGGTTAAACCATGTAAACTGTTAAACAATTTGGTGCTGCTTTTTATGTAGGTAAATTGTAAATATGTATTTACAATCATATTTATTTAATTTCTATCTGATTTAAATCTATGAATTCTAATGATGATTTTTCTTATAACTTTAATTAAACATTTTTTTTCAATTTAGAATTTTAAATGTATACAAATTTATTCTTAATAATTTATTTTTAAATTTCGAAAAAAAGTGTCTACTTTTAAACTGAGTTACGTTCCAATTTGGAATAAAAATAATACCATAATTTTCTGCGTGGAAACAGTGTAATTATACATATAATAACTCTATAATTAATGTTGTTCTATGCAATATGAATATTAATCGGATAATGGTCAAGTGGGCTGGACACGTTTTTCGGAAACGAAATGTAATGTGATTATTTAAATTTAACATCGCGTGACAACCAAATATTAGGTTTTTATTACACGATGATGACTTATACCTATATGATTGTGTTCGCCCCATCCCATTGTTTAATGCAATAATTGTACCCTATGCCTTTGAACATTGTCACCCTTTCGGTGTTGCAAAAATCACACTTCAATTGAAGGGGTGCAGCACCAGGCCCATTAATGACGAGACACTTTTTAAAATCTCGGCCATGTGAAAAAAAAACCGTACAACCGCACTCTCGAGTGTAGAATATAACATGTTAACAAATTTATAATGCATAGTTAATGACAGATTTCACAAACTATAATCTATAAGCTTATGCATATCGGTATATACCTCAGATAAACCCGGCCAAAATGTTGGGTTATAAAAATCTTGATGATTTAATAATAATATTATTATGATAAAAATTATAAAAATTTTATTATTGCCCATCACACGTTTATTTATTTATCTACATATACTGATCCTCAACTTGTTTGTCATACCTCGTGCTATATTAGTATTATTTTATTATTATAGGTTTGATTTATTGAAAAACCGTTATTACAACATAAATGTCGTATATGCAACCCGCTGATTAAATGTGTACATAGGTGGATTATAATACATAATATGATATTCAACATTGCGTTTTATTTATTAAAAGTGGTCTCTATACTGGTACTAGTAGTATATAATATGGACGTCGGACATTTAATGACGTTATAGGTTATTCGATTCCTCTAATGAACCAATAACCTAACACATAATGAAATTTAAACAATAATATTAGCACATTTTCTCGGTACAAAGTTTATAAATCAAGAGGTATTTTAAAGAAAAATAGAATGAGTAGCATTAATAATAAATTGGGCGCACTGCAGCACAACCATGGCTGGTGACTGAAGTTTTGTCATGCATTTGGCTTCTTGAGAAACAATATTCGAATTTCGGAAAGAAACTTTTGAACACGCTCCTGGGCTCCTGCAGTGTAAATAACAATATTAACCTTCCAAATATAGCTTCGAATTATAAATTAATTTTGTTTTTTTAATGATTTTTCAAAAACTGATCACAATGCGCTTTAAAAGCAAGATGTATTAGCAAAAAATCGTTTATTATAGTTTTTAAACTACATTTTGAAGTGTATGACATAAGGGATTGATTTTTATCAAATATAGGTACCTCTCTATTTTTTTTATCTCATGCCGTAGGTCATTATACGTCTTATACTCACTCTTTTTCATTAAGAAGATTTGAGCAGAATTAATTAAGAACAATGTTACTATGATTTAAAAGAACCTATTTTGTAACAAGAAAACTATAGTTTTATCACTTCGATATAATATATATTAATGTTGTTTAAATATGCAAAATTGCTTGGGAGAGGTCCGGAGACAAGACCTTGTAAGTCGGTGTAGTGTGTGGACACATTAGTTCCAAAAATAATAAGATCTAGTTGCGCCAATCATATATTGTAACCTTACTTAAGTGGTAAATGATTAATGATTAAAAAATGTATTGCAATAGTATTTTCACTAATCCCGATCTCTATTATGATAAACATAATCCATTCAAGGGTATCACTTTTATGATCCTAAATATAATTCCGTATCCTGAGTGTATATGAATTCCAAGCTGAATTAATTAAATTCCCTCGCCTGGAGAACTGATTAAAATATGTATTTTACCACATTGTACAATATTCTTATGATATACAATAGCTACTTTTAGATTAAGATGCTGATTTTTTTATGTTATATTGAATCATGGAACAATAAAATTATTTTGTTTGAGAAACAAAATATTAAGTTCAAAGATTTAAATAATAAGAACAAATTAAATACGCATAATTGGGATTTTATAATATTGTACATTTTAGTCTAGTGGATAATTACTAGTATATTTTAACTTTCACACTAATAATTAAAAATATCTAGGTATTGAAGGTATACGAAATTAGAAAACTAGTAAAACAGATTAATAAGATTTGCATAGATAATTATTTAAACATTTAATTGTATTATATATTTTGTGGAGCGACGTGCCATAGACCCGAACGTTTATTATAGTTTAAACTGTCCGATAAAGGTTTTAACACACATTTTTGAAAATCGTATAATATAATGTGTATAGAAAATAATCCGTATATAAATCGTTTGATCGACAAATGTATTTTCGGTGGCCTAATGGCCGATATAATTGCGTAAATCCGATGACACATTAATCTCGTTTTTTATTATTTCCGATACGGTCACAAAACCGAAACCGTTAAAAAACCAGCCACCCCCTAAAAATATGTGATGTGTTTTAATTGACATGTACAACGCAG